TGCCTTACGATGGAGTTTATCAGACACATAACCCTATCGTAAGTCATGGAGCATCCTTACTTACATATCATGTACTAAGAACATACAAAAGTGATAGTTAATTAAAATTTACCTTACTTGCAAAGGTACTCTTCCAAAATAGAATAAAATCAAATTTTTACAGTGGTTAAGAAAGTATTATTATGTACAATTTAATTGGCAGCTTTGCTTTTATTGTTTAAGCGTAATGAGATCATAGAGCATCCTATAAATGGCATCATAGATTTAATGAAATAAAGTACCTACTTGTTATGCGAGGAGAAAGCTAGCCGTGTCTTGAGATTGTGAAAGGCTTTGTATGTGAAAAAAACAAGTGACTCGAGGTGTAAGTCTTCTTTGGACCTGTACATTCTTAGAGGAAGAGATGAGCCAGCCCTGTAGGTATCAGAACAGGTATAGTATTTGCCTCAACACACCTTTTCTAAACAGATATTCTGTTTAGAATACAATAGCAACAAAAAAAGGGTAAAAGGGTACCTGGCTGAAGCAACACCCAGAGGCCTACGCGTTCTTCTTTTTGGATACAAAGTGCCTGAAACTCTGCACATTCACCCCTGTAGGAGAACTGGCCAGTAACCCTAGCTATCACTCAGCTATAAAAAAGATTGATTTGAGGCTTTTGTAGATAAATGGATGCATTAGAGACTGTATTGGTAAGTGAAATAAATCAGACCCACATGTGCAAACATTATATTGTCTTGGTAGTGTAAGAATCTGAAAGAGTAAATAAAATCTGAAAGGTACAATAGATACTGTGAAAGAGAAAGAATTTGTTGAAGGAGAAGGAAAAGCTGGGATGCCGAAAAGACAAAAGGAAGACAGGAAAAAGATACATTTATGTATGTATGCAGGATAATTTGGATAATTGTACCAATGATTTCTGCTGGTTTATTGAAAGGAGCAGTTAATGCTTTTATTTATTTATTTTTTAATTTTAGGGAAGGATCTATAGGGTGTTCAGGATCTCACAACTGGGTCGGACTCATAGTGATCCACCTGTTTACAGCCTCCCAAGAGCTTTGATTACAGACATGCACCACCACATCCAGTCTCAATTGCCAGTTCAGTGCGCCCTAGGGGTGAGGCCAGCACAGTGGGCCTGGGGATCAAACCCCCAGCCTGTGTGCCTGCTTGCAGGCGCTTTAATCCGCTGAGCTATTTGGCCAGCCCTTAAATTTAAAAATAAAAATAAAAGACATTACTCCCCAAAAAAAGCAGAAGAGAAAAACATGAAATTTATTTAATGTAAGTTGTACGTGACATGGGATTCTTCACAAATGAAGAGCCATACCAACAAGAAAGACTATTTTGTGGAGGATGCTAGATAGGTATAGGCTGGACGTGTTTAGGTATGATCTATGGCAGTAAACTTGAACAGGTGGGTAGCACAGATCTGTTTGTTCTAAATCTTCTTTATATCCCCATATGCCATCCCTTTCTCCTGGGTATAGAGTAGAACCTCTTTGGAATTAGGATTTTCTGATCTGTTTTCACAAGGTCAGCCTAGTTTTATGGCCTACTTCTGGGGAAAGGGGTGAGAAGATTTTTTATGGTTGCCTTGGTCTAGGTGTTAGCTTCTCAGTTCCAGTTAAATGCCAGAGATCAGTCCAGTTAAAAGCAGAGAAGATTATTGTGGTGTGTGGTTTCAGAGCTTCCCATTCGTGGTACTTGGCCCATTGCTTTGGGGCCACCAGTAAGGCCACAAGTGGCCAAAGTACATGGCATGCTTTACCAACCAGGAAGCAAAGAAAGTCAGGAAAGGGGCAGAGTCCCCATGTCCCCTTCATGGTGTGCACCAACCCCAGTGACCTCACTGCTTCCCCAGCCCCCACTTCCCAAGGGCCCACCCCCTCCCAGTAGTTCCCTGGGCTGATGAGCAAACCTTTAACACATGGGCTCTGGGGCACCGCCAAACTGTGGCAGCCTGTGTCTGCTGCTTCCTCAAATGTCCAAGTGTCAGTTGGGTTTAACATGACCTAACACCTAGCCCAGCACCCAGGTGGCTCTTACTGTTTTTGTAAATATGTATGTGGGGGTAGAAAGGCTAACATAGTATAGGTGGGGTTTTTGAGTGAAATGCTAAGCTCAGGGTTTTACACCTACCGAGTCCTGGGTGCTGGGCTAGGTGCTTTAACCTTTCTGGGATTTACCTTCCTTGTTTATAAGTTGAGTCTAAGACATGGGCTTTGTAGCACTGTTGTGTGAGGAAGGTAAGGGACATATACAGGACCTCATATGAGGAACCTGCATAAATTATCTGTATAAAGCATCCTAAGTCAGCAGTACCTCGGTTGCCAGGTGGAAACCAAGACACCATGCTGACAGTCTCGGTGTTATAATAAATGAAAAAGAATACATGACAGGTTGTGCTATGTGTTGCCTATAGTACTTAGACTTCTGTTCCTTAGTTCTTCTTCTTCTTTTTTTT